AGCCCCAGCATGGTGGCACACCCTCCAGGGTCCCTCTAAACCTGCACATCCTTCCCACCTCATCCCCTTCCTGGAGCTGAGTCGTGGGTCAGGACTCTGTGTCTGTCTCCCCGATGTCCCCACTGACGCTCACCATGACAAGCCCCTTGGTGATCTGTTCAGAACAGCCATGGCAGAGCTCCCCGAAGCGCACCCAGTAATCCTTCTTACAGTACAGGCGTCCATCCTTCTCGTAGTACTGGTGGGACAGGGAGGCCCCACACTCACAGCACCTGTGGCAAGGGACAAGGACCCCCTAGTCACCATGTCCCCCTTGTCACTATATCTCCATTGTCACCCCAGGGAAAAGCCAGTGTCCCCCTGCCCACCAGCCCTACAGCTCCCTGGGCAAGCTGTTTCCCACTTCTTTCCCTGCTGCAGGGCCACCACATCCATGTGTCACTAGCAGCGCAGACTGGCACTGCAGAGACACAGGGTTGAACAGGACAGAGGACGTGGAGCAGGGACATGTGTGGGGAGGGAGATGCCAGCCCTGCAACAAAGTGCCAGCCTGGTCATAGAGACACAGAGGGATGGGCCACCCTGGCTACAGACAGAGGGATGTGCCAGCCTTGAGGGTGCAGCACTCTGCGTGTTACTAGCATGATGGAGGGGGATGCACAGTGAGGATGCAGAAGCTGCACTGGGGCCACGACTTGGGGGTGCAGGAGTGCACAGGGCTGTGTGATGGGAGGGTGCATCCAGGCATGCAGAGGGGGCTGTGAGCTTTGGGAGTGCACAGGCAGGTGCAGGAGTGTTGTGTTGCATCGGGGGTACAAGGGGGTGCTCAAGGGGATTTGCTGGGGGACTAGAGGCGCTGGGGGGTGCAGGGGAGGGTGCAGGGGGGGCTGTCGGGGGGTGCACAGGGGTTGCACAGGGCGTGCAGAGGGGGCAGTCGGGGGGTGCAGGGGGGGTGTACGGGGACTGCCGCAGGCGGGGGCGGGTGCCGCGCTCAGGTGGTATCCAACCAATCAGGCGTGACGTCAGGACAGGGAATTTCCCCACCCCATGACATCATCGCAAGAGGACTCTACCGCCAGATCCAGGCCTCCCCCGCGCCAGGAGTCGGAGCAGAGGCGCAATGGGGGAGGGGTGCGGCTGTTGGGCCCCGCCCTCTTAACCCCCACGCTGCCGAGTGCCCCGATGAGGAGCCGTATCCCCCCATGATGAGTGACATGGGGCTGGGGCCCACACTTCCTTCCACGGGGTGGTGGGCACAGGAGGAGGAGGAGGAGGAGGAGGAGGAGGAGGAGGAGGAGGAGGAGGAGGAGGAGGAGGAGGAGGAGGAGGAGGAGGAGGAGAAGGAGAGGAGAGGAGAAAGGTTTTTGCACCAGTGAGCCCCGTGCTGCCGGAAGCTGGTCTCCCATGGGGCAGCCGGGGAGTTGTGGGGGGCTGGATACAGCTATGGCCCCACAGCGGTTTCACTGCACTGACAGCCCATGGAGGGTGGACTCAAGCATCTCCCAGAGGGCCATAGGGGTGCAGCATCCATCCCGACCCACTCACTTGGCTCCGGAGCTCAGGATGTGGCTCTTCCTCAGTGCTGCTACCAGCATCCTCCACGGGACGTGATGGAGGGGACCACCCCCGTGCCCTGCTGTGCTCGACACCCCCACCCCCACTGGGACACCTGCAAGGTCCCAGCCACCCCTTGTGCCCCCCAAACCTGGGACCTTCCTCCTCGTCCTCTGCAGAGCTCCCACAGCTTGAGCTACTGGGAGTGAAAGAGGAAACAAGAGAGGGAGGGAGGAGGATGGGTGACATCAGCCCCACACGTCCCGTCACGGGTCATTGGGCAGGAAGGGACAGCAGTGGGGTGCAGGCAGTGGGGCCCTCTGCCAGGCTTTGCATCCCCCAGCCAGGCCTGCCTGCACCCTGCAGCTGCGCTCCCGCCAGCATCCGGGTGCATGTGACAGCCTCCTGTGTGTGGTCGTCAGGGCAGGAGTGGGATCTGCTGCTCCTGTCCCCGGCAGCATCCCGGTGTCCCCGCTGCTGTCCTGGCTGCACCGCGCGCTCCTACCGGAAGCAGTCGGCATGCCAATCCACGTTCAGCGCCTGCAGGTACTGCCCATCATAGATGCCCTGCCTGCAGCTCGCACACACCGGGAGGTCGGTCCCTGCGTGGAGGGGGGAACATAATGGGGACACGGCTGTCACCCTGCCAGCTACCCACAGGCACAGCCCCCAGGATGTCCCTCTGTCCTTGTCGCTCCATTCAGGGTGATGAATTTCACCCCCCCTGGCCCCCACCCATCAATCTTGTAACGGGGACAAGGTCGTGGTGACGATGTCCCCAGAGCTGGGGACAGGGCAGGGCCTCAGTGCCAGTCAGGTCCCGCTGTGCCAGGCCACCCCTGTACCCTGGGGACCTAATCGTGGGTGCCCATAGGATGGGGGGACACAGAGTGGTTGAGGGGCACGGGGTAGGATCGGGGACCTAGGGGTGCAACACAGAGGTGCTGAAGGGGAGGCAAGGGCTTAGCCATCATAGGGAACAGGCAAGTAAGGGGGTGCAGGGGTGATGGGGGGCTGGGGACAGCAGGACAGATGCTTGGGGTGCACTGAGACATAGCAGATGGAGGGAGGGGTGCTTAGTGCTTGCGGCTGGACATGCAGGAGGGGTGGGATGGGAGCGGGAGCACATACTGAGATGCAGGATGGGTGCGGGAGGGATGACAGGCGGCAGGAAGGGGGCAGAGGAGGGATGCAGGATGGGTGTAGGGGGAGATAAAGACTGTCAGACTGGAAGGGATGTGAAGGAGGGATCCAGTGGGACATAAAGCACATGGGGGAGACACAGAGGGGTGCAGGATGTGTGCTGTGGGATGTAGAGTGAATGGGGAATGGACGACAGAGGGGTGCAGGATGTGTGCTGGGGGATGCACGGTGTGCGGGGGGGGACAGCAGAGGGGTTCAGGATGGGTGCTGGGGTGGCAGAGAGGGATGCAGCATGGATGGAGTATATGATCAGTGCAGAGACACCAAGGGGTGCAGGATGGGTGTTGGGGGTGGTCTGCAGAATGGAAAGAGGTGAGAGATGGGGGGGCTGCAGAGATCCTCAGGGTGTGAGGAGGGTGAGATGTGCTAAGGGTGCAGAGTGCATGGAAGGCACAGCAGGGATGTGGTGGTGCAGGGAAGGAGGCATGAGGCATAGGGGGGTAGGGATATTGGGGTGCAGGAAGGAAGGTGCAAGGTGTTTGTATGCTGCAGGGAGGGATGCAGGCTGGAGGGGATGTGGGGGGTGCAAGGTGTTTGTATGCTGCAGAAGGGATGCCGGTTGGATGGGATGCAGTAGGGGGATGTTGTGGTACAGGGATGGATGCAGGCTGGATGGAGGGTGTGGGCAGGGATGCAGTAGGGTTACAGCCTAAAGAAGTGGTACAGAAGGAGATCTGGGGGTACATGGGGGATGAAGGCTGAAGTGCAAGGGGAAATTTGAGAGTGCAGGGCAGATGCAGGTTGACCAAGGGGATGCAAGGTGGGGATACAGGTTGAATAAATAGGGGGTGCAGGAGGAGATTTGAGGATTCAGGCTGAAAAGGGGGTGCAGGGGGATGCAGGGTGCAATGTGGGCTGGATGAGGGGTGCAGGGTGGATGTGGGGGTGCAGGTGGGATGCAGGCTAGATGGGTAGAGCAGGGGACAGATGCAGGCCGAACAGGGGGTGCATGGGAGATGCAGGGGGGCAAGACAGTTGCAGGCTAGAAAAGGGGTGCAGGGGGGATGGCAGGGTGCAATGCGGGCTGGATGGGTAGTGCAGAGGGTGATCTGTGGGTGCAGGGGCACGTTGGCTGGCTGAAGATTGTGGAGGGGGTGTGGGGGGGTGCAAGCTGGATGGAGAGTGCAGAGGAGGGTGCAGGGGGTGCAGTCTGGGCGGTGAGAGCAGGGGATGCGCGGGGCCGAAGGCTGGGCGGGGGGGGGGTCGCAGGGCCCAAGCGGCGACGGAAGCGCTGAGTCAGGCGGGGGAGGGGAGAGCGGGGGGTCACGCACCTTCGTCCTCTCCCATAGGCTCGTCCCTCCAGGTGCAGCACAGCAGCATCAACCTCATGCAGCCGCACTGCCCGGCGCCGCGCCAGGCCCTGCCCTCGCCCTCGCCCCGGGTCGGGTCGGGTCCGGTCGGGGTCGGGTCCGGTCCGGTCCGGTTCCGGTTCCGGTTCCGGTTCCGGTCCCGGCCCGATCGGGCCCCGGCCCTACCGCTGCCGCTGCGGCTCCGGCGCGCGGGGATGGCCCGGCGGGAGCACGGCGCCGGCGCGGCCGCGGGAGGGGCGTGGTCGGGGGGGGGGGGTGGGGCCAAAGGGGGCGGGGCCGGCGAGCTCTGCTCTCTGACGTGGGAGGCGTGGGAGCCGTGCAGCCCGTGCAGTCGCGGCGGGCAACGTGGGAGCCCCGTGCGCTGGCCCGGCTGTCACCGTGCCGCGGGGCGCAGGCCTGGGACCCCAGCTGCCACTGCGGGGTAGGGGGAGGACGTCCCCATCCTCCTGGGGATGTCACCATGGGGAGGGCACGGGTGTCCCCTTTATCCCCCGGGCTGTCACCATGGCGCAGCGCATGGATGTGTTCTCGTCCCCTGGGCTGACACCAAGGGGCATGGACATACCCCTTGGTCCTCAGGCTGTCCGCATGGGACGGGGCATGCACGTGTCCCTGCACCCCTCAGCTGTCACCATGGGGCAGAGCAACCATCATCCCTGGGGATGTCACTGTGGGACAGGGCATGGATGTCCCTCCATCCCCAAGCTGCCACCGTGGAAACATGGGCACACCCCTGCGTCCCCAGGCTCTCCCCTCACCTACCCGCTGTGTCCTAGGTCTGTGACCACAGAGTGGGGCACACGGCATCCCCCCGACCACGGACCCAGCTAGTCCCCAGGCTTAGGCAGAGCCACAGGCACAGAGATGGGGCGGTGGCATCCACCGCTGCCACCACCACAGGGAGGGGAACTAGGACACAGGACAGAGCCAGAGTCATTTAAAAACTTGTCTTTTATTTGTCTGTCGGAAGTGAGTTCCTCTGCATAGGGCGTCCCACCCGGTTATAGCAAAGTGAGTAACATGAAGGGACAGAGCCCCTCCTGGCCGCGGCCCCCCTGGAGCGCGGGGACCGGGGGGAGCCCAGGGCTGTCAGGGACATCCCTCCCCGAGCAGCTCCCCGCTGCTGGGACCCCCTTCCCTCCTTCCCTCCCTCCAATGTGAGGTGCCCCTCATCCTGCCCTCCCCCCTCCGGGGACAGGGCTGAGGCTGGTAGGGTGGCGACACCCCAAGAGCCCCTCAAATCCCGCAGGGAGCAATAGCACCAAGGGGGACGGCTGCTCGCCGCAGTTTATTCCGCGCTCCCCACCGGGATGGAGGGGCTGGGGGTGGGACAAGCGCTGCCGGAGGCACGGGGCCCCTCCTGGGAACGTTGGGTCCGGGGTTTTGGGGGGTGGGGGGTGGTGGGGGTGTCTCAGCTTCGCTTGGGATTTACATTCTGGACCATGCAGTAGCACCAAAGTTCATGAGGTCATGGGTGACGACGTGCGGTTACTTCCGCTTCCTCCCGCAGTACTTCCCTTGTGCGCAGCCCACGCCGCCTGGGGGTGGGGGGCGGGGAGGGGGATGTGCGCAGGGTCAGGCTTCCTCTGCACCCTCCAACCCCGGGGGGTGGGGGGGTGGGGGTGAAGGGCACGGGTGCAGGAGCCGGCCCCATTGTGGTGGGGGTCACCAGTGGCAGCGCTCACCTCTAAAGCCCAGGGCACCGAGGGCTCCTCCATAGGTCTTGGGGGGCTTCCCTGCAGGGAGGAGAGGAGTGGGGTGAGTGGGACCTCCAACCTGCTCGGCCGCTGGGTGCAGGGGATAGATAAACCCCCTCCACCCTAAAAATACCCCATATGGGGGATGGACACTCACCACCAAATCCCAGCTGACCAGCAACCCCACCTGAAAGGAGAGTGGAGCCTTCAGCAGTCACCAGGCACCCCTATTGCTTTGCCCCACACCCCCCAGCCAAGGGCCCCCAGCTCAGTCCACCACCCTGCATCCCTCCCCAGGCTGTGGCCATGTCCCCCTGTTCCGTGGGCTGTGCGTGTCTCCATGAGCTGTCACAAAATGTGCCCTGGGAGGTGCCGAGGCACAGAGCTGGGAATGGTACCTGGAAGTATTGGTGACACACCGAAGCCGGGAACTCCAACCCCTGGGGAAAAAGCAATAGCCAGTGACAGGTTATGACAACAGTGCCACCCCAGCCTTGCCTGACTGGGGCACCCTGGCTGGGGTCACTTGGAGGGACGGAAGCGGCTACAAAAGCCCCTATCCCCACCATGGCACCTATCTGGGTTTGAGGTGCTCTCCCAGGCAGTACTGTGCACAGCAGGGGATGGCAGCAGGTGAGGACAGCAAGTCGGGACAAGTGTGATGTGGCAGGGAACATACTCCCGCCCCACCCCAAACATGGGCACTCACCTGGCTGCAGCCCCCCGACACCAAAACCTGTGGGATGAGAGAACCCTGTTGAGGGTGGGGAGTGTAGGGACAAGGGTGGGGATGGGGACAGAGATGAGGGTCACACTTTAACCCCCCCCGGCCAGAGCAGCTCCTGTTTCTTACCTGGCTTGGGAGGTTTCCCAGCAGCTCCTGGATACAAGAGCCCTGTGTCAGAGAAGGGCATCAGTGCAGCCCTCACTGGGGCTCCCTGCTGCTGTGGTGCAGCCAGACCCTGCTATGAGACCAGAGGGTCACCGGGCAGTGACCCGCATCTCTGCATATTGGGGACACGGTGCAGTACCTGCCCCTGTCCCCACGGAATGGCAACGCTGGTGCTATGACCCTTGGTACCTGATTGGTGATAGCATTCCTTTCTGATGCCCGGGAGCAGGGCAGGCAGCAGACACAAGATGGGGCACAGGGCACAGTGACTGTGTGTGGTGTGACCCAGAGGGGACAAAAGTGACCCTGCAAACCCTGCATCCCATACAAACCCTTCCTTTTCCAGCACTCTGCCAGCATGCTGCTGCTGCTCCTCTCCCTGGACCCCAGCCCTGAAGAGCCCTGATGCCAGGGGCCAGCATCACTCACCAGCACCAAGCCCACCAACTCCGAGGCCACCAGCTCCAAGGCCACCGACTCCAAGGCCACCTATAATGGGGACCCTGAGTGAGTGCCAGCAGGGACAGGCCTAGCCTGATGTGTGCCTGTCCTTCATCAGACAGCCACCTATGCCGTAGGGAAGCATCCCTCCCCTCTTATCCCTCTGGGGGGGCATCCCCCTGCCGCCCCATCCTCACTGCCTGGGTTCAGCTCCTGCTAGCACCTACCTGGGACACCGCTGATCCCTGGGACTCCAACCCCGGGAACACCTGCCAGAAAGACACCATTAACTCGTCCCCCCACAGCTCAGCACCCACAACTCTGGGCACCTCAGACAGTGCTAAACCCACTGAGGTGGCCCTAACACCCATCCTAGGTGGCCCCAACACCCATATCACAGTACCCAGAGCAAGAAGACCTGGAGGGGGTTCACCCCTGTGTAATGCATCACTGCAAGCAGTGCAAAGGAGGTTAAAAATGTCCCTAGTGAGTCACGGGGAGGGGGCACAGATGGCACATTGCACCCATAGGTGCCAGCATGCCACCTCCAGTGCCTGGGCCACCTTCCACTGTGGCACCAGGGCACACAAAGTGAGGACAGCACCCTGAATGGCCACATGAGAAGGGTACCCAGTGACCGTCTGGGGTGGACCTTGGGGCCGGGTGGCAGAGATACCTACCCAATTTCGGAGGTTTAGCACCAGGCTGCACCCCTAATTGGGGGATGCCTGCAAAGCAAATGAGGACACCACAGTTAGGCCGGTCCCCCCTGTGCCCCTCCCACATGCCACCATCCCCCATCCCGCCTGCATCCCCCCCGGCCACCCTGCAATGTGACTTGGTGGCTTTTAGCATCCCTGGCCACCCCTGCCCCCAGGCAGGTCCCCATGGGGGTGTGAGGAAGCACGTACCTGCCCCGGGGAGGATGCCAGTACCAGGTACCCCCACACCCGGCACTAGCCCAGGCACACCACCGACACCAGGCGTCACTCCTGGCACCCCAGCAACACCAGGCACTGCACCAGGCACCCCTCCAACGCCAGCACCTGCAGAGAGAGGGGGTGAGGTGGCGTGGGGAGGTCACCGTGTGATCCCCATGCTCCCATGATCTGCTCAACATGCGGTGCCCATCCAGAAGCCTCTGGGCTCCCCCGGGGCCAGGCTGTGCCACAGCAGGGCTCGGGGAGAGCTTGGCTGCCCACCAAGTGGCGAGAGCTGCCAGCAATGGGCTCCTCTGGCCGACTCACCGAATTTGGCTGCCTTTGCTGCTGCTTTGGCTGCTGCAGCTGGAACTCCGACCCCTGAGCAGAGACATCAAGAGGGCATTAGTGTCCCTGGGGCGTCCTCTCCAGCAATGCTGGGCAGAGCCTATCCCTCCAAGGAGTGGCCATGAGCTGACAGAGACCACTGAGGTCCTCCTTGTGCCTCTCCTCCCCAGACAGGCTGCCACCATCACCTGCCATCCTCCTCCTCACCTGGGATACCTCCAACACCAGGGACCAGGCCACCAACTCCAGGAGCAAGGCCACCTACACCGGGAGCCAGTCCACCTACACCAGGTGCAAGTCCACCCACACCAGGAGCCAGACCACCTGCTCCTGCAAGGAGAGAGGGAAGGAAGAGGGGTGGTGGAAGAGGAGCTCAGGAAGAGAGGTGGTGGAAGGAACTGGCTGAAAAGCCATGGCAGGCTGGGCTGAGCACATGGATGGACAGATGAGTGGACAGAAGGATACTGAGGTGGTTGGCTGGCTGGTGGTGTGGATGGGTGAGTAGAAGGGAGGGTGGATGGACTAATGTATGAGGTGTAAGGATGGTGAACCTAGGAACCTTCATGCAGACCAGCTTTCTGGAGAGCACCCGCTGACACAGCCATGACTTCATCCCACATCCTCATCTCCTCATCCCTGTGGAGAGCTCATCCCTCATCCCGACCCACAGGGACCCTGTTCAGTGCTGGGCCTCAACTCCAACAAAGGCAGTAACCTGGGGTGAGGAAGTGCCAGGAGACAGTACATGTGGGATAACCCTGGAGAGATCCCATCTTACCATACTTGGCTGCTTTGGCGGCTGCTTTGGCAGCAGCGGCAGCTGCTGGGGCTCCAACTCCTGGGGGAGAGGGGAAGCGTGAGGAGCAGTGATGGGCCATGGTGGTCACACCAGCACCCCTCAGCCTCTGGAGACATGCCAAGCATCCCTTAGACACCACCTCACCTGGAATGCCTCCCACCCCAGGCACCAGACCAGGCACACCAACTCCAGGGACGCCAACTCCAGGCACGCCGACACCGGGCACGCCGACACCGGGCACACCAACACCGGGGACACCAACACCAGGCACACGCCCTGCTCCTGCAGAGAGAGGTTCAGGATGTGGCTGAGCAGGCTCTGTATGCACTGGCCTTCTGCCACCCACAGTGCTGGAGGTGCCCCCCATTCTGCTCATTGTGAGCACCCCTTGTTCCTCCTCTTTCCCTGGAGAAGGATGATGGTCACTCACCAAATGCTGCGGCTTTCGCTGCAGCCTTTGCTGCGGCCGCAGCAGCTTCTGGGCCACCCACTGCATTGAGAGAAGGAAGAGAGTCATGGGACCAGTGAGGCTCGCACCACCCATCAGCTAGTGCCAGCCCATCTGCTCACCTCCAACACCAGGCACCACACCAGGAACCCCAGCCACACCGGGCACACCGGGCACACCAGGGACGCCAGGGACACCAGGGACACCAGGGACACCAGGAACGCCAGGAACGCCAGGAACACCACCAATGCCGGGAACGCCGACCCCAGCTCCTGCAGGCAATGAGAGAGGGGGAGCTAGATCTCATTTCAGCAACAGTTGAAAGGTGGGACCTTGTCATAGGTCTGCTCTCATTGTCATGCTGTGGTTGGAAGAGCACCCCACCACCTCTTCCACAGTGCTGTAAGGGCGGGACTGGTCCCATTTGTCCCAAGAGGCCCCAGTGAGGATGGTAAATCTGCAGTTGTAAAAGAGTGGCTGGGAAGTCACCAGCACAGGGGACTGTGATGATCCATCATCATGGGGGGCTCCAGATGGTCCTCATCATGTGGACATCAAGCCTTGCAGCCAAACAAGCCACATAGGAGATGTGGCTGGTAGTCCCCAGTAGCTGCTGGGAAGGGCTGGGTACTCTGCACACTGGCCAGGCTGGGAAGTTTCCCAGGGCAGTGACAGTCCTGAGTCACTGGCACTCGTTACTGCCACAGGGACAGGCAATGCGTCACTTCTGGAAGGGCTGATAGAGGGGCTGGTGTCGTGGTCTCCTGCTTGGCCCATGCCTGGCACCCAGTGCAGAACACATTCCCATTAACTTGTCAATACCAGGTATCTTCCTAAATCCCATCTTTCCCTGGGCGCATGGCAGGATTTTTTTCTACATGATGCAGAAGAGAAATGGAAGCAATGGCCAGCAATGGAACTAGATGATTTTTAAGGCTCCTTCCAATACATACTATCCTATGATTCTGTGAAAGCTGCCATTGAGCATGGCTGCTCCAAGGGGACTCACAGGGCTTGGCAGTGATAATGCAGGAGAAGGTCCTGGGACCCACCCATGTGACCTCTGGCACTGCCTTCTGGAGCAGCATAGGGATCCGACACCCCTATGTGGAGCTTTGGGGCTGCTTTGCTTCCTCTCTGTGCCTGGGCTCACAGCTTCCCTGTTATTTTGCCACACCCCTCATCCCCTCCGGGATCCTGCTCGCTCGAGCTCCCCTGGGAGAGGTTATGACTGCTGAGTACCTGGGTTTTGCTAGCCAGGTTGGATGCATTTGCTAGATCTCGCCAGGTTTTTGGAAGGTGGTGACCCTGGGATGTCTGCCCACCCAGGCAGTGAGGCTGAGCCTGCAGGCACCAGACTGACCCAGAGAGCCAGGGTGGAGAGGGTCAGCAGGGTCCCCAGGGAGCTGCTGGGAGCCCCCTGCACCATGCAGCACGTACCGTACTTAGCTGCCTTTGCTGCTGCTGCTGCTGCTGCTGGCCCCCCGACTCCTGGAATAAGGGAGAGAAGGACCCTCAGCCACCAGCCCCCACAACCCGCAGAGCCGGGGGATGGGTACAGGGCTCTTGGGTACAGTCACCTGCCACCCCGGGGACACCTCCGACACCAGGCACCAAGCCGGGGACACCACCAACGCCAGGCACAAGGCCAGGGACACCACCAACCCCTGGACCTGGAGGGAAGCAGAGCTGTGAGACACCCCCCAAAACACCCACTGCCACTGGTGTGGACGTGGTTTCTCCCAGTGTCACAGGAGGTTCCGTGGCACCTGGCTTTGAGCACCTCAGCTGCTCAGGGGATCTGGAATGTTCCCAGGATTGGGATTCCCAGCTTCCTACCCCCAGCCGAGGGGTCTGGAGCCCACAAGACCACCCAGGAGCTTGGAGACCTCTGGGGTCCCCCATGGCCATGGTCATAAATTCCAGCTGCTCTCAGGGCTGACATGTTTCTTCTGGATACATTGGAATGAGCACTTGTTTGCTACTCAGTTTCCCCCCACAAAGCAGCCAACAAGGCAGTGAACATGAGCTCTACATCACCAGGTATGTCCCTCTGCTCACAATTAAAGGCTCGTTACAGACTCCGCCTGTCCCTACACCATGTCAGAGCAAAACCACATCTCTTGTGGAGAAACCATGACTGATGGGGACACACCACCGTTTCAGGCAGCAGGAAAATCTGTGTTTTGTAATCCAGGCTTTTCGACGCCCAAGCCGTGCTCTCCCAACAGGCTTCTGGAGCCTGCCCCCAAAGGGGTCAAGCCCTTCTGCAGCCTTGTGGGAGGTTTCACCAGCTTTTGACTTCCCCAGCCAAAGCTTCTGGCTCAGCACAGTGGCTTCACCTTGCCTAAGCTCTAACAAGCAGCCCTGGAGCCATGGAAGGGGTCTGTGCCTGGGAGAGCGTCCCAGGAGATGGCACAGGGGGTGATGTGGCCGGTTGTGGTTCCAAGCAGCCCTGGCCCCAGTGCATGGCCGCACAGTCAGCAGCAGGATCTGTCCCTGGCAGTGGGGAACTCACCAAAAGCTCCTGCCTTTGCTGCTGCCTTCGCTGCTGCCGCTGCCGCTGCAGGACCTCCAACTGCCAGGGTAGTGGGAGAGAGTCAGGGGTGTGGGATGGGTGGAGGTGACCCAGGGAACCCCAGAACCTGCATTGCCTCACCTCCAACCCCTGGAACAATACCAGCACCCGGTACCACTCCTGGGATGCCACCAGCCCCTGGCAGGACACCAGCTCCTGCCACAGAGAAGGGCACTATCAGCTTGATGATGCAGGGACACCACCAGCATCCCCCAGGCCTGGGAGGGAGGGACCCCACTGGGGAGATGAGTGATGGATGTGCCCTCGGAGGGTGACTCACCGTATTTTGCTGCTGCTTTCGCTGCTGCTGCCTGTGCGCCAACTCCTGGGGAAGGACATGGGCAGCCACTAAGGTCCCAAGACCATTCCCACCTCAGCTCCCCCACCCCACAGGGACTTTGGGGACTAGCCCCTCCTGTTATCACCCACCCCGCTCTCCTTTGGGAGGCATTGGATCCCTCCAGGCTGTGCCTGGGGTGACACTGTCACTGGCAGAGTCCAATGCCCTGTCTAAGGACCAGCAAAGTGACTGGAGTTCCCAGTTCCCCCACCATGGCCATGCCAGGCCCCCACCCCAGGGCTGCCTGGAAAGGGAGCATACCTGTCCCGGTGGGGTACCCTGCCTTTCCTCCTGCTCCAATGCCAGCTCCTATCCCGCCTGGCCCGAAGCCTGCAATCACAAACAGAAAGGCAAAGATGAGTCAGGCACTGGCCCTAGGAAGGGGGCAATGAAACAGCTCCCTCAGCCCAAAGGATCTCCCTGCCTTCGGTGCCCAGGGATGTGGGTGGTGTGCTGGAACCTACTTTGCTGCAGCTGAGATGTCAGTTCTAACATCCCTGCCTGGAGCTGGCTGCAGCTCAAGACATATCCTGGCAGAGCCAGCTGACCGCTGCCAGTGTCCCCCATGCCGTGGAATGCCAGGAGAGCTGGGCTGCTCCCAGCTAGGCCCACAGGTAGCACAGCAGGGCAAGGCACAGGTCCCTGGAGGGACCACCTCACCCTGGGAGCAGGATTCTACTCATACCACCCAGAGGGTTGGTGACCACAAAGCCATGGTGGCAGCCAGTGGGGCTTTGAAGAACTATGACTGCAGAGTGAGGGCTACAAGCACTCACCATAGGGCAGCTTACCAGTACTGTAGGGCAATCCATAGCCACCTGGAGAGAGAAGGTGATAGGTTAGTACTTGTCTGCCAGTGGCTGCAACCCCTCTGCCCCGCAGTGTAGCCCCTCTCTGCAGCACCAGCCCTTGGGGCACCTTCCATCAGGATAGTAAATCCTCCAAGATACGACTCCCATGATGAAGCCAGGCCAGGAGATGCTTTTCTCCATCACCTTGGAAGCAGCATCTCTAAAAACAGCCACTCACTGTCAGGGGCTAAGGCTGTGGCACTCAGCCAGTTTTGCAGGAGCCTTCTATGATCCCACTTTGGCAGGAGGTCCCCTGGGAGCCCTGCGGCAAGAGCTGTGCCCAGCTGCCTGCACCATGGCCAGCTCCAAATGAAGGGGGTTTATTGGAATGACAGTTTGGGAGCCTCTGCTGAAATGTGACCTCTTTAGGAGGTCGGTGTGAAGGGACAGGGAGGGATTATGAGCAGCAATGTTGAGCCAGGGAAATGTCTCCTTTTGAAAGAGCATGATCCCACTGCTCAGGATGGCACAGGGATGCCCGTGACTCAGTGGGGAATATGTGCTTGGGATGGGCAGCACCAAGCTCCCATTACAGCTGGCAGTGGCCTGAGGAGGAGTGATGGGCTGTCACAACCCCAGTGGGGGCACCTCGAGCAGCACTTAGGGTGCAGGGTGTCTCACACACAGTCTTCCTGCTGAGGGGTTTGTGGGATAGGAGGGATGCAGCTGTCTGCAGCCAGGACAGTATTGCTCATGGCAAAGTGTCTCTTTGAGTGTGGGACACTGTCCCCTACAGCCAGCAAGCATGTGGTTCCAGATTTCCCTCCACTCTGCCAGGCTGTCCCATCATGTCCCATGCCAGCACAGTGGCAGATGCATTGCAGGCTGTAGTAGCTGTGAGTTGTGCTGGGTGTCCCCCACCTTGGCAACCTCCCTTGCGCCATCCTCTTAAGTACCTCACTCACCCCAAAGCTGCGGAAAGGTCCAGCACTGGGTGACACATGTGGAGGTGACTCCAAGGGTCATAAGTCTCCAAGGGTTTTGCCGGGTCCAAGTTCAGCTCCCCACCACCCCCAGCCAAATGTGAGAGCAGCCCCCACCCCAGGGCTGTCTGCACCCTTCCTGCACCAGCATGAGGATGCTACCAGCACCGCTGGGGGGGGGGCTCAGGGTGAATGGGCACACTCACTGGCGTGAAAAGGGTTTTGCACTAATCAGTGCCATCCCAGCATGGCTGGGTAGTGGGGAGCAGTCCCCATCCCTATGGCATGAGCTGGGACCCTGATTTCAGCCGCAGCTTCAGGCTGAGCCCCCAGTGAGCAGGCTGGCCCTGGGGCTGCCTGTTAAGTGGGGACAGCACAGAGCAGGAGCTCTCCAAAAAGGAGACTATCCGCTGAAAATGTTTTCCCCACTGTCCCCTCATCCCATCTCAACTCAGCTGTGACACAGCACAGGGGACATGGGGATGTGTGGCAGCCCCTGCATCTGTCTGCACCATTGAAGGGTGCCAGCCAGCCCAGTGTCCCGATGCTGCCAGTCCTGAGCCCTCAGAGGTGACAAACTGGCATTCCCCAGTGTCCTGGGAAGGACTGGGGCACCAGGTAGCACCCAGCAGCTGAAACCACAGCTGGGGACACCACCTCTGTCCTGTTGGTCCCCGTGAAAGATGTGATGCACTGATGGCGCTCCCTGGCCAGGGGAATGAGTGACCTCCCCTGGTTTATTTCACAAAGGCTCCCCATGAAGTGGGTCAGCCTGCAGCTGTATCAGGCTGGGCTGCAGGCCCCTGGCAGGGCTGTAGCAGGATGGAGCCAGGCACGGCTGCTCCATGCACCGGCTGTTTGCTCTCCACACCAGGCACCCCATGAAAGGCGATCTGGGGATGGGCTGCGTCCAGAGCCAGGCAGTATCCAATGGCAGCAAGGCCAAGTCGCCCCAAGGAGCGTAACTGCCTCCACAGGAGGAAGCTAGAGCAGGCCAAGTATTCTGCTGCCATTTGCGGTGATGGGCCCCAGCAGGGGGAAGTCGGCAGAGCTGCCAGGGCCAGGATGGGACCCACTCCCCACAGATGGGCTCCCCCCACCAAGGCTTTCCTGCCTGCACCAACCTGTTTTGGCCAGTGGGAAAATGCCCATGGATCTACTGAACACCCCAGGGATGCAGGAGCCTGCCCAGATCTTATGCTTATTGGTCCCAGCCAGCACTGGGTGTTGTGCCCTCCAGGGCCATGCTGCCAGCATCCCCTCTTCGGCAATGATCTTGGGACCAGTAAGCTGGCAGCATGGCCCTTGGAGGGCACAGCAGCTGGTGCTGGCTGCCTAGGACTGCCTGTCCTCCACTGTCCTTGCCTGGGCATGGCTGGCTGGGGGCAGGCAGAGCTGGCACCCAGCCCAGGGCTGGGTGTTGAAGGTTCCTGGAGCAGCCCCACATGGGGGCTGAGCACCCACAGGTTTCCCTGGGCTGGAGCAGATCCTCATCTGGGTGGGCAGTGGGGGGTGAGACCTTCCTGGAGCTCCATCTCCATCACCTGCCTGCTGCTGGTGGCCTTGGCTATAGCTCCTCAAGCCAGGATATTCAGCCCAGGTGAATGCTCAGTGATACCTGGTGCAATCCCGCAAGCCACAGAAAGCTATACAGCTCTTGCAAGGGCTGTATCTCATGCCAAGGACAGCCTGGGGTGGTCTACCCCAAAGCAGGTCCCCAGAACATGCTCTTTCCTACCTTATAACAACCACAGAGAGGCACAGCATCATCCTCATGGGCTGTGGCAAGACCAGCAGCAGGATCCAAGCAGCTGCTCATAGGCAGGAGCTGCTGCTGGACTCACCTGCCCCTTGCTCTATCCTGCTGTCCCAGAGCCACCACCAGCAGCAGGTCCAGGGGACCTGGTGGCACCAGGCTCAGTCCTGGGGAATGGCGGGTCCTCCTGGCACTGCTGGGGGTCTATCACCCCTAGCCCCTTTGGCTGTGGCAGCTTACCTGGGAGCTTAGGAGCTTTGATGGGATACCCCAGGGGGACACCGGGCTGTTGACCTCCAAAACCTCCTAGTCCTGCAAAGCCAACAGCAGACTCTCACCTGGAGCCCGCACCAGTCACTGCAAGAGGGGAGTGCCCCAGGGCACCCTGGTAGAAGAGAGTGGGTGGCTCAGGAAGCCCTGAGGCATCTTCTGGCGGGGGAAGGCCATGGCTGTGATGAACAGGCTTGGGAAGGAAGAGAAGGATAGGCGAGACAGACAGGACACTCACCAGGGATTCCTGCAAAGGCTCCTGCTCCTAGGCAGAAACACAAAAGCACCCATGTGAGCATCTGGGCTGTTCCTTGTGGTCCAAACTAGTCTGCGTGGATTACATAGGCTCAGCCAAAGGTTGGCTTCACTTGCCCATGTGCCCTGTGGGGCTGTGAGCCAAATGATGGGCTGGAGCCAGCCCTGGCAGGATGGGGATGAAGGCAGAGCTGGAGCCAGCCCTGGACCCACCCTCCACCCCAGTGTCCCCAGGCGATCTAGGGAACTTACCTGGAACTTTTGGCTTGACTCCAGCACCAGTGGGTACTCCGGGCAGCACCCCGACGCCAGGGAAGCGGACGCCTGTGGAAGAGACCAGAGAGCATTGCTTGTAACCAAGACCCCTGCACCCAGCTCCCAAACCCTTGTTACCCATCCATGGCTCAGCACCAACCCTTGTACCCTGAGACAGGGCACCCCCATACACTAAGGGCTTGCTGCCCCCCCTGTGCCAGCCCCAGGGCAGAGCTGCCAAGGAAGGGTTTGCTCCAGCCCTGGTGTTGCCTTTCCTTTGTAGGGCCAGGCAGCCTGGACAGGAGCTCAAGGTGCCTGCAGGATACATGGCACCTGTGAGAAGGTCCCACTCATGACAGCAAAGCACTAGCCCATGCTGTGGTATAGCCAAGCCTGGGCATTGCTCATTGCCCAGTGATTTGCAGTGCCTTTGTGCAAGCTGGGGCTCTTTGGGGCACAGGAAGCCCCAGGCCTCCAGGGGCAACAGGCAGTGCTTTGGCCTTGCAGTCACTTGGATTGGGGTTTGGGCTTTGGGGTTTGTTTTTTTTTTTTTTTTGTGGTGTGTGGGTTTTTTTTTCCCCTTTCACAAATGTCTTTCATTATAACTCTTGCATTTTCAGACATGGAAAAGACATTCCTGACCAGCAACACAGTTCTTCTGACAATGTTGAAACATCTTGTTTTCACAAGTTTTCCTCCCTCGAATTACTTTGCAGTGAGGAATTCCTCCCCCTCCTCCCCCTACTTCCCCCTTCTTTCCACACAGTCTTTTGCTGGGCAAGCCAGTCCTGGCATGGGCTGTGCCCGCTCCTCTCCCGGTGCTGATGCCACCTCCTCCCATGGAGCTTGACATGAGACCACTGGAGATGCTGGGTTCCCCTGCCTTTGGCACGGTGGAAATGTCACTATGGCCCCAGCAAAAGGGTTTGGAAAGTACAGGCAGCAGTGATGGGGCAGGGAGGGAGCTCAGCATGCGGGCAGCAAGGGGCTGCAGGAAGCCTGCTGCCGGGCAGGCAGGGGATGTGCTGCAATGGCCATCTGGCCACAAGGCTGTCGACTCAAACTGGAATGCTGGCACTGGGTGGGGACCCCCTCAGGAGTTGGGGTGCTGCTGGTAGGTTGGGGATCCCCAGCTCACCTGCACCAGGGAGCACACCACCTGGGAAAGCTCCAGGAATCCCAGCGCCTGCCAGGCAAGAGAAAGGCGACAATGAGCAGCCGGCAGGAGCCATTCCCCCCCACTCCCCAGCCCCCAGCTCTGGGGCCATGGACCTACCTGGTACTTTTGGGGGTTTCACTGCTGCGCCAGCCCCAGGCTGCACCACACCAGGTACCACTGCACCTGCAGGCAGCAGACATCCCTTGAGCCCCTCATCAGCTCCTGCACACCATGGCAGGCATGGGGACAGGTCTGCCCCAGGCTCAGCTATGCTTGGGATGAGGGTTATTTCCTTACCTGTAGAGACCCCGAGGCCACCAGGACCACCAACTCCAGGCACGCCACCAATGCCAGCACCTGGGGGCATTGGGAAAAGGAATGAACCAGTGTGAGATGCCACTGCTGAGCTAGGGTTGGCCGGAGTGGTGCCAAAGGAAAGGACAAGCAAAAGGCAGCTCTTAGGAGACAAGGGACACTCTAAGGCAGTACCACGGATGAGTCCCCTAGAGCTGGGCACAAGGACCCAGTGGCTTGATGGTCTTTTCTCCTTGGGGCTTGGGTTTGGCCAATACCCCTTTGCCAGCACACCAACATGTACAGAGTGCCTCTGAACTGTCAGCGATCCCCACTTGCATCCCCCTAGCTCCACGGGGAAAGCTTTTCCAACCCAGGACCTCAGGGGATACCAGGAGCCCCAGCGTCTCCTTGCCTGGCATTGTTGGGTACCCCCAGCACTCACCAGCTTTTGCAGCTGCCTTGAGTGCAGCTGCAGAGGCAGCACCAGGGAAGGCTGCCCCAGGGAAGGCACCTCCAGGGAAGACACCTGCAGCACCTGCAGGGAGAATAACCAGCATGAGTATCCCCAAAACATGTCCTGGTCCTGCCCTCCATGCTGGCCACTGTGGGCACAGGAGGTGATGAGCCATGCAGGGCTGCAGCGTGATGCCAGGGGCTGGAATGAGGCTGGGCAAGGTGGTGGTTAGCAGGCACTGCCCTGTACTGCACCAGCTTCTCCCTGCATCCCCCCCAGACACATGCTCCCATCTGCATCCCACGCATCACCAGCTCTGCCAGCCACCCAGGGCCCACGGCAGTGTCACTGGCTGCTGCACACACCAGGTTCCCCTGCTGCAGGTCTTTCCTCAGCTATCACTCCTTGGGGTCACCCTGCCATGGATCAATGCCATGATGCTGTGGGACCACAGGGATGCCTGTTGGTGGCTGCCAGTCCCTCAGGTCTGCGCAGAGCACCCAGCCCAGATGAGACCCACCAGAGAGCCAAGGGAGTGCACTGTACTGGGACAAAGCCCCTTGCTGTCTCCAGGGTGGGTCTCTGGGGACAGTCTGGAAAAGGGTGGCCAGTGGTCAGTGCTCACCTGGTTGTAGGCCGAGTGGGCCAAGTCCCCCAAGGCCTCCGACCCCTGGGAAGAGAAGTGGGTTGAGCTGCGGGGAACTGCCAGGGCCAGAGAAGCAGAAACATCCCATTGCCCCATCCCCACAGGATGAGAGCGTGCCCCAGGGACAGGCACAAGGACAGGTGGCAAATGTGCTGCCAGTGTCTGGGCTCCCCACCCCATCACTTTCTGCTTTGCCTGCCCCCACCCCACCAGGCCACGAGGGGACGGAGCTGTAATGTTTATGGCTGAGGAACGAGTCCCTCCGTCTCCGGTCTGCGGCCAGCGCTGCCTTCCAACATCTGGGGCTAATCAAGACCTCGTTCCCTCTAGGCATAAATTCCAGTGCCTTTGGCTCGGGGCGCGGACACTGCACGGCTGGGGCTGGGTTTTCGCAGCCGCCCCACATTTGGTTTTAATTACGCCGAAATAAAGGGCCTTGTTTTCCTTTCCACGAGCTGAAATCTGAGCAAACGGAGGTTGTGGCCCCCGCCTTGGGCTGGCGCTCCCACCGCACAGACAGGCCAGCGCAGGAGCCGGAGGCTCGGTGCGCCCCTGTGCACCCCTGCCTGGGCAGGCAGAGCTTTGGTGGGTGAGGCATTGGCACAGGGTGCCCAGAGAAGCTGTGGCTGCCCCATCCCTGGCAGTGTTCAAAGCCAGGTTGGACACAGGGGCTTGGAGCAAGCTGCTCTAGTGGAAGGGGTCCCTGTCTGTGGCAGGGGTTGGAACTGGATGAGCTTTAAGATTCCTTCCAGCGCAAACCAGTCTGGGATTCTGTGATACTGTGATCTCTTCCTGTGCCTCGATGAGCACCGTGTATCTCCATTGGCACCACTTTTGCCCCTGCACGTTCAGTACCTGTTGCCCCAGCACTTCCTCATCATGCCTCAGGCTCTGTGCCCTCAGGCTGTGCATCCTCCTGCCTCCTCTCCTCACTCTCCCAGTGAAGCACCCTCTCACTGCATTATTTCTAGCTCAGTGAAACCCCAGCATGGGCTGCAGGAGGCTCAGCAAAAGCTACTTGGCCACAAACAGCAGAGCTGCCAGCTTCCCACTGGCACTGTGTCTGGCAGGGCAGGGCAAGTGTTAGCTGGCATCTTCCCGAGGAGCTTTGGCACAGGTTTGCAAGCAGCAAGCACCCTGAAAAGGTGGTCTGGGGAGGCTGGAGGGGACAGGGTAGTGTGCCAAAGCAGGGTACAAGGAGGAAGGCTCCCTTGCCGCTATTGGGACTTGGCGGGGGTCAGTGTACCAGGGCAGGGCAGAAAGCACTCTGTGCCTTGGCCATGGACGTGCCCAGGGTCAGGGAATCCCTTGGCTATGTGAAATAAACAAGAGGGCAACAGGGGTCAGGAAATATCTTGTCCCCTGGCATGGCTGGCAATGGCAAGAGCACCAGGGAAAGGCTTCTTACCTGGTTTGAGAGGTTTTCCTGCAGCTCCGAGTCCTGGGGGAGAGTGAGTGGAGAGGGATCAGAGCCATCCTTCCTCCAAGCATCCCCCAAAGGGGGGATATGGTGCAGGATGGGGATGCCCTTCCCCTCACAAGCAGCTTTGCTAGGGGTCCCCATCCCAGCACCCCCATGGACAAATTGGTGCCAGCACTCACCTGCTCCCAAACCTCCAATCCCAGCACCTGCAAGCAGCAACAGTCTTAGCACCCATCCCAGTGAGCATCCCCCACTCACCCACCCACCCACCCATGCCAGGCTACCCAGAGTGTCCATGGGGAAACAGAGAGGGTCACAAGGGTGCCAGGGGATGGGGCATCCCCCCTGGGATGTCCCCAGGCTTTTGGAGGAAACAACAGGGACAGGCTGTGACCTATGACCAAGTCCTGTGGCCAGGGCTGGGCAGGCCCTAAGTGCCAGCCCTGGAGAGTGGACACTGCCAGGAAGCCACCCAGGGCTGAGCAGCCATATAGGCTGTCCCCATGTCCCCTGCTCCCAGTTGGCAGATCCCCAGCCCTCTGTGCTGGCTCACAGGCACGAGGGGCTCCCCAGGCACCTCCCCAGGCACCTGCACCCCATGGTGATACCCAAGCCTGGACCCCCTTACCTGGGAAAAAGCCTCCTCCGGGAACTCCCCCTCCTGGGATAGCACCAGGGACCCCTGCAAGAGAAGAGACCCTCATTAAAATTCCCCCAGGGATCCAAGTCTGTCTGGTGGGGTGGGAGGGAACACCTCCTTGGATGGGAAGATGCTCCCTGCAGATGAGGTGGGAAGCAGAGCCCTGGGGCAGGCCCCTGCCTGTCCTTGTACACCTCAGTTTCCCCACTGTGACAGTGGTGACAGGGCTTGGAGGTACCCCAGACAGGAGCTGGGGGGGCATCTTGGTGGAGGTTGCAGCAGGTCCTGCATGGGAAGGAAGGACATGGGGCTACTGTGAAGCAGTTCTGGTTGGTGTCCAGCTCGGCTGTCCTGTACCACAACCAGTGCTGTCTCCATCATCTCCGGCTCCACATGGCTCTGGGGTACCTGTCCAGCCATGTCATGGTGGGGTGGGGCTGTCCCTGTTCAACCCTGCAGGCAATGCTGATCCCAGCCAAGCCTGGCTGTGGCTGCCACCTGCCCATGCTGCCTGCCCTGCCTTGCTCTGCCTCGCTGCCAGTGAAAGAGCCAGCTCAGGCACAGTACTGAGATGTTGGGGGGGACAGTGGCATGATCCACTGAAACCACCTGCACCCCTGTGCCCACCTCTGCGAAGCTGAGCTGAGCATCTAACCACACAGATCTCATTGCTTTCCAGGGCATGTGGAGCCTGTGCTCAGACAACCCCACAGTGCTGTCCATCTGGTTTGGACTCTGTCAAAGGGCTGTGTCCTGCATACCACCAGGCAGCCGGCCCATGGGTGGTCACCCTGCTCCATCAGGGCCATGGCTGGGGCCTGCAGGTGGGTTGGTGGCACAGGGAGGTTGCAGTGCTGGGGGATGCTCCGCTTTTGGCTGGAGCATGTTTTTGGCACTAGGGCAGCTGCCATGGGGTTTGCAGTGGGATTTGCAGCGAGGCTGGCAGGAGGATCTGGGGATTGCTGGAGGCAAGAGCAGGGCTGCCATGGCCAGCATCCCTGCGGCAAAGCTGCACTCAGCTCTGGACAGAGGGGATGGAGTTCAGGCTGGATGGCACTGTGGACCCTTCAGTGGCATGGCTGGGACCTGAGGACCTGCTGTCCTGCTCCAAGGCTGCATTGGCCTCCCATGCACCCCCAGGAGCTGGGTGCATGCACCACAAGCTGCACAGTACCCAGGGACAGCACAGACAGGTGTCGGACAGAGCTGGCAGCCATGGTGAGAGGTACACTGTGCTGCACATCTCCGTTTCAGATGAGGTGCAAACTCTGGGGGTCCCCCCTCATTGTGCCCACAGCCCCCTGCTTCACCCCAACAGCTGCTTGCTGTGACACAGCAGGAATGAGGGTGTTCCCTGAACCCTGCTCACATGTCGCCAGGACAGACACTTCAGCCCAGCCACAGAGAGAGCAGGTACTGGGATGCAACCACATGTGTGTCAGGACACACACGTGCGCAAGAGGGGTGCCAGACTGTGCACACACAGATGTCAGGACACACGCACCGGCAGACATGCACCTACCAACCCATTGGGACACAAACAGAGGACCTGTGCCAAGTCCTGTCACACAGTACTGTGCCCCCAAAGCCAACCCCAGGGCCCTGCTGGGGCTGGGGGACAAATCTGGCCCTGGAGCAGCTGGTGTCTCTTGCAATGTTGGGGACATGCACTGGGCCATAGCTCCGGCCGCTCACGCCTCTGTCATGGCATAGCATGGCACAGCCCAGCCCAGCTGCCAGCCAGGGGTTTATGGGGTGGCTCTTTTCCCTGCACACTCCCCTATCCACAACCCTACCCATGCCACCCCTCCCACCCCCCCACCCCCACCCCCCAGCTTGGAAAAATAAATCTCAGCTTCTTGCCTGTTTCTAAACAGACTCCAAGCATCCACACATCTCCTGCCCCCCCCCCCCCCCGCCCTGCTGGATCCAGCCAAGATTCATCTGGGTCCCCCCATGCCTGGGGCTAGTGACCATCCCCCACCAAGCAGGGGGATCCCTGCAGTGCTCAGCCCCAGGGTGATGCCTCAGACCCCATGGCCAAGGCAAGGTCCCTCGTGCTGGGTGATGCTAAGCACCCGGCAACCTGGGCTGAGCTCTCCTACCCCTGAGGAAGCTGGGACAAGGCTGGATGGCTCACAGCCTTCCTGGGGTGCTTGGAGACCTCTGCCCACAGCCATGCTGCTATTCTCCACCCTTCAGCATTGTTACCCTCCTGTGGACCCTGAAAGGGAGGTCCTGCTTCCCCCAGACACCATACCATGGCCAAGGCACTGTGCTCATCCCAGTGGCTCACAGAAGGTCTGCACCTTCTGGAGGATTACAGGGCATGTGTCAGTTTATCAATCCTCTCCATGCCCACATCAGTAGGTGGAGGATGTCACCAAGTCCTGGCAGGAGCCTGGACGGCTGGGGGCAGCAGAATAGCAGAAATGGGGATGCCATGAGACTTTGGGGAGCCAAGGCTTTCACTCAGGAGCATTGCAGGAGGCTGCTCCCCCTGGCTGCTCTCTCTCTGACCATGTTGCCAAAGGCAGCCCGCTCTGCACTTCTCTTGAAGCTCTTTTCTGGACTGTGTTGGTGCTGGCAGAGCTGTGCTCATCCCAGTGGGAAGACAGTGCCCATAACCCCAGCATAGCATGCCCCTCTTTGACCTCTCCATCCTGCATTCCTCTGGCACATTGGGAAGAGCAAACTGAGTCACCAGCCCCTTAGTACAGGAGGAGCTCTGTGCTGCCTCTGCCCCTGGTCCCAGCCTGCTGAGACTCCAGGAAGGGGGGTTTCTCCTATCTTGCAGCTTATCTCTGAGCCGAGGCTGGTTGTAAGCCTGCAGAGCACTGGGCTGGCCCCCAGCACCCACCCCACAGATAAGCCAGTGTCATCTGTACCATTTCTACCTGTACCACTGATTGCAGCTTTCTTTACAAGCCAGAAGTACAGATGTTTTCTCTATTCTACAGCTTTCATGACCAAGACCAGGCTGGAGCATCCACCACAGGATGCGAGCTCAGACCCTCACTGTGCAGCCAAACCTTGTACATCGCCACCCTTCACATGCCTGTGGGCTCCTGGGGCAGGCTCAGCACATAACCTCCGCTGATATTTCATAGAATTTCTATAGCATTTCCCCTCTTCCCTCACGCCACTGCTTGCGTTTTCTTGGGAAAATGGGTTTTGGAAATATGCAGTGTCCAAGCAATGTTGAAGCTGCACTACGCCCTGGCACAGCTCGCTGGCAGCAGCTCGGGAAGAGCAGGGAGGCTGCTGCCAACAGCCTAGCTTCCTCTGCAGCCCCCTGAGACTCTAGCTTTCATCTCAGAGTGCTGGCAGACAAGCTGCACCCTGCAAGTTGTTTGCAGAGGGAGTAGCCCCAGCAGGATGGTGCCCTGGGGAGGTGCCTGGCTGGGAGGGGGAAATACCACCTGAGTCCCACAGCTGGCCCTGGGGCACCCCGGGGACTTTGGGTGTCCCCATGCTGGGATGCCAGTACCCTGCACCTCCCAAACTTCACCCTGCGGTCCCAGAGAACTGCAGGGCTGAGAGTCCTCTTGGTTCCTTCTGCCCTGTACTCCACCATGGGAAGCAATAAGGGATGGATGGATGGATGGATGGATGGATGGATGGATGGATGGATGGATGGATGGATGGATGGATGGATGGATGGAAGCACTGTGGGACAGACACCCTGCTCCAAATGCTGGGACACGCTGCACTTGGCAACTTTAGGGAAACACACAGCAGGTTCCCCATGGGATCCAGCCATACACCTTCCCACAGTGCCCAGTACAACTCTGCTGTCAGGGTGCAGAGCAGCAGGGGATGATTCTGACCTGCCACTGAGAGTTTCCCAAGTACCACCATCTGCTGCAAGCCTGGGACTCAGCTCCTCAGCACTGCTTTGTGTGTAATTTGTGCGCAATTTGTGTGCAATTTCCCCCTTGACCCTGAGATCTCTCAAGTGTCCCTCTCCTGCCAGGCTGGTTTGGAGCCACACTGGCAGTGGGTGCTGGAGGAGGATGCTGGCTGGTAGCCCCGCCCCCCATGCCACTGTCTGTGCCTCTGTCCCAGCACAGTTCACAAGGGCTGGCAGGGCAAAGGGTATGGCTGAACCTGCCTGGTGCCACACAGCACACCAAGCTGCAGAGACACTGCTCATTCCTCTATGGAGAAGCGTCCTCCGGTGTCCCCATCAGCACTGGGCCATGGCTATCTCCTCTATGAGCTACTTCCCAAATCAGCAGACACCTCTGGAGGTTGAGTCACAGTCAACAGTCACAAACTGCTCAGAAACTGCTGCAGGATCTCACCAGGGGACCAATGTCCTCCAAAGACAGTCCCAGCTGGCCACTGCTTGAGACCTGGGGCACAAAGCCACTGTAGCAGCAAGCAGCATGGAGCATCACTGCTGGTGTTGGAGACTGCCCACTACTGAGCTGCATCCCATCAAGCACCTTGACCCTGAGCAGCAGTTACCCAGGATCAGTCACTGACCGTGGCTCGGCTTTACAGGTGCTGTATGGCTGGGCACCCCTCTGGGTCATGCTCCCTGCACAGACAGAGGCAGACCATCCCCTGGCTGGAGTCCACCACCAAAACAGGGCAGAGCAGGGAGCTGCAGGGCTCTGGCAGATGGAGCTGCTGCCTGCAGACCCCTAAGTGCTCTGCCTGTGGCGAGGGGTGGCCCAGGCTGCAGCTGCCAAGTGCCATACACAGCCCTGGCACTGCCTAACCCCTGCCCTCTCCTCTCCTCTGGTCCTCAGTCCTCTTTGGTCGAGAAGCCTCATGCAACAACTTTGGCGCTGACACCATCACTGATGGTGGCTCTGCCCCCCACACAGTCTCCACAGTGTGACACAGGAGAGGTCTCCAGAGGGGGCTGTCCTATACCTAACCAGGCTGTCCCCACCTCGCAGCCCTTTGCCCAGTCTGGCCATCACAGCAGGCTGAAACTCAGTGTTCAGAGCTACTCGCTGTGCATGTCATGGCCTGACCACGAGACACAAGCGTCCAGCCAGCCAGCCAGCACCTGCTGCGCTGGCAGCTCAAGCTGCATCCCACGGCGTGGTGGGATGTGCAGTCCACGCGGGCTTTGCCTCTCTGCACCAGCAGCGTGTTTGCTGCACGTGCATGCGCATGTGCTGGGGTGTTGCACAGCCCCTCTTCAACCAAGGCACCAGCCAGTGAGCCATGACCTGTGCAATGCACGGGTGGATGGAGCCAGCGCCGGTGATACAGTGCAAGGGGACACCCCAGGCACTCAGAGCCCAGGTTCAGGCAGGCTGAGCCCTCTGCAGCTGCACCAGTCCAGCCAGCTGTGCAGCAGCCACACACTGCACACACTCGCCCACATCAGCTGTAGGATGCAACACGCTGACCCCCCCCTGCCCCTCCAGCTCACAACGACATCACACCGGGTGGGTGACTGGTGCCAGCTCCCCTGGGCCCCTCACACTTGTAAGCTCCATGGGCGCTTAGAGGACACCCTTGGCTGCCCTGCTCTGCACACTGCCTGCGGGTCCCTGAGCCTCATGGGTCTCAGTTTCTTGTATCCCCTAGCCTCTCGTGTCCCCAGGGGCTCTCACTAGGACATAGCACCTCGCAGCCTTCTCCCAACAAGTGCTTTGCACAGTGATGCCATTCCTGGGCTGCCCTGCCACCATCCCTGGGGACATTCTGCCCCACCCGGGTGGGCTGGGGGACAGAAAGTCCTCCAGGGAGGTGCCCAGGGCTGGGCAGGGGGCACTTGTCCCTGCTTGGGGACACGCACCCAGGGCAGGCGGGGGCTACCTGGGGGGGCTGTAGGAGGCAGCAGCCGAGGAGAGTCCGTGCAGAGGGAGTGTAAAGAGGGAGCTGGGGAAAGAGGAAGGAGTCTTTTCTTTCCTTACCTCCTTGCTGAGAAGCCGGGAGGATGGAGAAGAGGAGGAGGACTCCTGGAAGGAGGGGTGCAGCTGCCTGCCTTGCCATCTCTTGAAGCAATGCCCTCGTGCTCCCGCAGGCTGTGTGTTTTATCCCAGAGCTGCTTAATTGTTGCTTCCAAGGATGCGAGGGGAAGAGGAGGGGGGAATGTGTGTAAGGAGGGAGGGGAAAAGGAGAGGGAGAAGGGGGGAGAGAGGCACAGGACACTACGTCATGAGGAAAGGGCAAACACACACCAGCCTCTCCAGCCGATTGGGCTGGCTGAGGTTTTTTTTTTCCCTTTTTCCTTTTTTTTTTTTCCTGGTTTAATTCCTCTTTCTCCAATCTGAGTTCGCCTCTGCCAAAAAAGCTGGAATGGGGGGATCTGCCAAGGCAGCCTGCGGGGGGGCGGGGCCGGGGAGCGGGAATGGGGCGCTGCGCCCACCCCGATGGGACCCCCCGTCCCCGGTGGTGCCGGGGAGGCAGTGCTCCGGATGTGTGTCCCACACCGGGGGGGTCGCATCCCCGGTGGCACCGAGCGGAAGGGGGTGAGAAGGAACGGGGGTGTCCGGAGTGCAGGCAGGTGCCAAGGGGGAGCCGCTCCACCCGGGTTGTGGGGGAAGGAATGGTCCTGGTAGCGGTGCCGGTGCCCGGTGTAGCGGGGCACCACCGGCGGCGGCCGTTAGGTGGCGGGAGCGGGGTGCACGGTGCGAGAGCCGGCCGGCCCGCAGGAAAATCTGCGGCTGGGGCCCGGGAGCGTGCGTCCGCGTCCCGGCCCCGACCTTGGGGTGTCCTGGGGACACGCAGCGCCCAGCCACCGCGTCCCCTGGCCACCTCCAGAGCCCGGGGAGCTTCCTGCAGCCGTGCTGGGCTGTTCCACTCTTTCCAGCCCCAGTTCATTTGGGGCCGCAGGGGCTCCAACCCCCTGTCAGCTCTGAGTGCAGAACCAGATGCTTGTGCAAATTTAGGCTCCGTGCATCCCCACATGCCATCTCGTCCCCCTTCCCACCGGGTGTCTCTGGACAAGTGTCGGTGAGCTGCTGGAGCAGGCAGCGCGTTAAACGGGGGAGGTAGAGGGATGGGGAGTGGGGTGTGTGGAAAGGAGAAGCAAGACCAAAATACCCTTGTCACTGCGGCACTGGCCGTGCTCCGGCGCTGCAGCCCATCACTTCAGCTATGACATGGGGGGTTCCACTCTGCCAGGCACCAACTCACTGCTCATCCCAGTGCTCTATTCCTGTGAGCCCCGGCCCACAGCCCAAGGAATGAGATCACATGCAAGGACATGCACTGCCTGAACCCCCTTTCTGTGAGCAGCTCCCCCCATGCTCCTTCCGTGGCTACAGAAATCGGCAGCAGATTATCCGCAAATCCACCCAGTCAGTTTCTCTCTGCCTGCAAGAGGTGCAAGGTCCCAAACCTGAACGCCCACTTAATTAAGTGTGAGCTAAATCCATGCTCAGGACAGTCATTTCGGAGCCTGGCTGTCTGGCTTAACTCAGCTCCCACTTTATTTTAGGGAAGGTGTCAATGGCTACAGAGCAGGAAATCTGGGAGGTGGAAATTACAGAGTTTTGCCCTCTGCACCTAGCGCTGGGACACATCAAAGAGATGGAGGGGGCACTGAGCTCCTCAGTAGGCTTTTTGCGTGGATGCTGATTTTCTGCTCACCTGCATCCTTGCAAAAGACTGAGGGCTGTGGGGCACAGAGCACCCCTGGGTGTGGAGAGGGGGTGAGCATCATCAGGGCAGAGCAGCCGAGCTGGCCCATCTGCCCAGCTGGCATTGCTGAATGATGTAATGCTTGAGCAAAAACACACGCAGTCATTAAACACAAGCTCTGTGCTTGAGAGGAGCGACGTGGATGAAGGCTCCAGCAGCTTTGCAGCAGTTCCAGCGGCCTCAGGGCCATGCTGTGGCCCGTGGGATGAGGACCTCCAGTCAGGTCTGGCTGGGTGTCCAGGCAATGCATCCTCAGTGCGTGTGTCTGCAAAACATGCAGAGGGCAGGGCTGGGAAAATGACCTTGCTGGGAATCATAACGGGCAGCTGACTGTCTCTAGCAGCTTCTGCCCCTTGCCAGAGAAATGGCTCTGACTTCTGAAAGCATGTTTTGTACCTAGAAAGAATATATGTGAGGCAAGATCTCCCCACCCCTGGCACTTGCGACGGGGAACAGGATCCAAGCCCTTTGTGATTTGGCCAGGGCAGAGCCAAGCTCTTCATGAGCTGCCCATGGGAAAGAGCTGGAAGCATTCCCTGAAGTTTGCAAAGTGTTGGGGAAAAGCTGTGCTATTTGGCCAGTGCTGGGAAGGCACGGATCTGGGTAAGGCCCGACAAGAAAGGGAGAAGGTAGAAAATGAGAGGCCCTATGTGTTTGCTGCACAGTGCAATACCGAGGTGAGGAAACCCACAACGAAGGCAGGAGCGAGACCACCAGGGACTACATCCAGCACCGGTGCAGAGGGTGAAGGGCCTGGGGGCTTTCCTGGAGGCTGTGGCAGCTCCATGGAGGAGGGTCCCAGCAGCCAATCCCCAGCACGGCTCCCATTGTGGTGACCGGCAGGTGCAGGTGGCACACAGTTCCCCTCAATGCTGACATAGTTGCTGGGGGAGATGCCAGATACGTACCCCCTGTGCCACACACACAGAGCTGTCCCACGGGTATCACTCACACACAAAACACACAAGTAAACACCCCTTTGCTATAGCTACATGTCCCAGGCTGGGACCCCAACCCTGCCCCATGCACTGTTGACAGCATTGTCATAGGAGACCAATGCTAACAGGGTGTGATGGGGCTTTATGGTGCCTGTGTGGCGTGGGCTCAGAAGAAAGATATGTGTGAGGGGCAGGTCACAGGGAGGGCTCGAGCTTGTCATGGTCTCGGGGAAGCTGAGGCTGCTCTGGGGGTTGGTGACTGGGCAGCATGTGAGCTAAACTTCTCATGTCACCTGCTGTGCAAGTGCCTCATGTTTGGCTACAGTGCGTCTTCCAGATTGGCTCACAGCCTTTCATCCAAAGCACCAAGGGACAGGCAAGCTGCTCCTTCCCATGGTTGAACATCCTTATGTCTTCCTGCCTTTGTTCAGCAGCAGTTCATTGTTAACTGATGCATTATCACCCCTGTAGATGCTGCAAAAGAAAAAAGCACTGAAGAGGCTGTCTGAAATAGAGACCTCTGTAGGTCTGCCTGCTACAGAATCCCAGATAAATGCCTTCCAGGGCATGGGGTGGGGGAGAGGTAGGTTATGAGTCACAGATGGGGCTCATAGTACCTGGGAATCAAGTCAAGTCTCTTCTCAGTCTTACTTTTTGCAAGCAAAACCTTCAGGCTTGTCAAGTCCTGTATTCAGAGGCATTTTCACCATCTCTCAGTTGTTTCCATGGCTCCCTGCTGAGCTAGCTCTGACATCTGCAGCCAGGTCCAAGCAGTGGGTAGCAGCGAGGTGACAAGGCAACACCCCAGCATGTGGCTGCGGTTGTAGCTCTCGTGTTTTCTTGCCAAAACTCTGGACAATCCCTTGGACAGCCCAACAGGAGGGCACCAGTGGGAGTCCAGACTGGAGCATGTGCTTGGGCTGGTGCACGGTCGGAGCTCTGGAGCAGGGGAGCATCAACCCCCTGCTCATATCAACCACACAAGGGTCACAGATTTGGTGCTGAGACAGGGCCGGATGGGTGGCTGCTAAAACATTGAAAGGGATTTTGAGGACTGCTGGGTCCTCTGCGCATGGCTGGCAGAGGTGGTCTCCATCCATGCATCCCATTGCTGCAGCCATGCACATTTCCTTGGACAAACATTGAACCACCCTGCTTGTAGTCCATGGCACAGCTCCACAGGACATCCCTTTGGCAGCTGAGGCAGCCATTCTGTCCCTGGCACGAGTCTGGAAGCCACCACAGAAACCAAACTCAGCATCGTGGTCAAGATCTTCTCAGCTGTCTCTGTACGCTTGGTGCTGGAATGTTTCTCGAAGCCGGAGGGGGGTTGGCAGCATTGCAGGGACTCTTTGGAGACCACAGGGGCTTAGGCAGCCTCTCCTGGCCAGCCACAGAGCACTGTCAGGTCCCATTGTACGTGTGTCTGTTGGGTTTGAGTGTGACCCCAGCTGTACCCCCTCCCAATCTTAACTTTCCATCAGCTCTTCCTTCTCTGTCAGTCCCTTCTCCTAGTTGTTATGGGAAGAGGTTTTGCCAACACAAGGATGCTGCTCAGTGGGACCAGTGCTAGAGCTGCAGCCACATGCAGTGGTGGAATGCTCTTCTTGGCATGACTGACAGAAACAGTGTCGTTGTTCCATGGCCACAGAGGGACCTCAAGATCTCTGGGGAATATGTGTCACTGGAGTCCCTTCAGGGAGAGAAGGGGTGACGCCATCACCAGCCCCTAGTTTATAGACACCCAACCCAGTTTTCTGGTTTCTGCCATGCATAAGCCAGGTGGTGTTTGTGATGGTGTCTTCTCTGCAGGCTTTGCCTTTCTTTCTCATCCTCTTCTCTTCCCTTCCTCTGCAGCTAACCAGCTCTCCTTGTGCTGAGGATACATGGATGTGCAGCATCTGTGAGGCTTGGATTGCATCTTTGGCACAACCTTGGGACAGCAAGGTGGGATCTCTATCCTTGGACATGTTCAGAACATGTCTGGACAAGGCCCTGAGCAGCCTGACCCAGCTTTGGAGTGCTAACCTGCTCAGGGGCTGGTCTGGACACCTACAGACATCCCTCCCAACATAAATCCTTTCGTAATTTATATCAAATTCTCTATGGTATTTATGTAGTTCTGGGAAGCCTTCAGTGATGTATCACTGAACCATTATAGCCTGATTCTGGCCAAGGTGGGATTTAGTGGTCCTGACTGCACACATCTCATTCATGTTGCTCTTCTCAAGGACAGCTGCTCATCTGCTGCCTGTAGGTAACCCCAGGCTGTGCTGTTGTCCCACTCCCACCTTGGGTGTGAAACCTGTCCTCTGCCTGCATCCATCCGTCCATCCCCACTGCCTTCAACTTTCAGTCACATCATTCAAGAGTCTGTTTTTGTTCTCCAGACTGCTTGCGAGCATTCCAAGTGTTGATTAAAAGGTACCATCACTGCAAAATGTGCTGTGCCTGGGTGGACATAGCTTTCAACAACTGAAACTCAGTGTTTACAGGAATGCACCATGGTTGTTTTCGGCCAG